GTTCTGACAGGCCTGTGTACTTATTGAGCATTGCTTACATTTAAGTGGGGTAAGTTCATATTCCTGGTAAGTGCATTGCCTCTTTTCAGTCCTGAGGCTGTGCCCTTTAGTCCACTGCACTAGAATTGCATCATCCTATTTAATTCCAACTTCTAGTGCTATAGGGTGAAGCTACTGCATGGAAACAGAAGCCTCACTAAATGGATAAAGGCTAGTAGGCCTGAGAAAGCAGGTCTTTAACAGTCAAAGATGATGGCTCTTAGCTCATAGGAGAGAAAATGTGGGTGTGTCTACACATTCATTAAGGTGCTTTAGTTAACGTGCACTAAATCTAGTACCTTTGGGCTCCTACACATATGCGCAGTGTGCGCTCCAATGTGCTGGAAATCCAGCACGTCGGCGCAAACTCAATTAATTGAGTTTGCTTCAATTACTTTGAGTCAATTAATTGAGTTAATCAATTAACTCAATTAATTGAGTCTGCTGGAGCATGGAAACTGATATGCTCCAGCAGCTTTCCATGTCACGTGTATCAGTGTCACTGCATGTCAATACTGAAAAAATGGTGGCGGGGTGCTTTGAAATAAAACACGTTCAACAAGGTTTAGTTCAAATACCCCACCACCATTTTTTCAGCACAGGGACACGCAGCAGCAATGCTGATACATGTGATGCACAGGCACTTTTAATTAGCACTGCCCGCTAATTAAAAGCTACTGGCACCACGACGCACCACATGTAAAAATGCCCTCCACTGTGAAGTACTAGGAAAATACACACTAACCTCACTTAATCCGCATTAACTAAAGAGCATGGTTTTTAAGTGATGCTTAATGTACATTAGTCTATTTTAATGCACAGTAACTAAATAGCACGTTTAGTAATGCTTTAATGCTCATTAAAATAGGCTAATATGCATTAAAATGCACATGTAAATGTGCCCACCGACTTCTCCAGAAGTAATTTAAGACCAGCATATGTAGATACAGTTGCTGTATACAAATCCCACTTGAAGACTTGTGACCAATAATATGTTATCTGATCTATTTCCCTTGCAAAGGGGAACTCAAAAAGATTGCCTATTATTTCCTCTCCCCACCCCTTTTAACACTGGAACCAGTGGCTATAGCTATAAGGAATAAAGGTAATATAAAAGGCATTAAGGTAAGACTTTAGTGAACACAAGATTGTGTTGTATGAAGATGATGTGCTAATACCCCTGTCAAAGCTTGAGGCTGTCTATACATGTGCTCTGGGGGGGAATGTGGGGAGTACTTTAGAGTGGCACTGAGAGCTAGTTTAATTAAAGCACCTGCAACGTCACAGGTATACTGCATCCTGCACTTCAAAATGGCAAATTAACACATTTGTTATACTTTTCCTTGTATAGAATTTAGTTAGCCACACTTACATTGACATTGGAGATTTCCATTTTCAGGATCACAGATCTTTAGGGCAGACCACACCACTCATTTTCTTTTTCTTAACTGTGAAACTACAAGAAACCTTTTGTGAACGATCTTTAAATGCTATAACCCTCATTGATAAGTGCTAGCTGAAATTCAGAACTTTACAGAGTGGAGTCTGGATGAGAGATGGAAACATAGTCAAGGTATTTTTGGAATGTAAATTCATCCATTAATAAAATGTATGTGATGCACCATATGCACATGATGATCTCCCCCACACATTTTTTTTTTTTTGCCAAAGGCTTAAGTCAGACACCTCTGTTCCCTCCCAATTGACAGGGTGCGTGCACACTCACTTTCTCTCTTTTCTCTCTCACCCTGTCTCTCTTTCCCCCCCACCCCTGTTAATTTAAATGTGCAGGCTGCACATTTTGGGGATCTGGTATAAAATTCCTCAGATACCACTGCAAGCCCAGTTCTTTATAAGTCACACTGTGCTGCCCAGTATCCAAGGTCGTAGGCATGGGCAAATTTAAAGCTGCATGGTGTAGCTCAATGAAGGGCTGCATGGCATGGTTTTAACATGCATTCAAATTTGGATGCAATACAAACCAGGTACAAAGAGTTCCACACTGAAGTGACATTTTATCAGGTGATAAATTGGTTGAACATGTGGCATGTTACAATTTATAATGTAATTAACATGTTAATTGGATGATAAATGTCCACCAGGAGTCTCATATGCACATAAGACAAAGACTTCTCCTTTCAAGGAACCATACCAAACTCAGACCTGCTCACTCGTTTCCTCTACCCCATAGCACTAAAGTTTCAACTGTGGGAACCAGATTAGACCCATATTTCCTTCTAGTCTTTGTAATCTTGCTGGTTTGGAACAAATCCTTGCTTTGTCTGCAACTACACAGGGGTGCTTCAGCTGAGCTACGTTTTGCAGATGTGGAATGGCCTTTGCTTTACCGTGGCACTCCCTTCACACCTTTTTTCATAACGTATGTTTTTGTTGGTGGTTGATAATTTGTGGTTGAAATGGGCTTGCATGAGTTGTCTGATTTTTAATTGTGAACTGAAAGAAATGCCAAGGAATTAATAGAACAAGGTACTACAAAGGATGAATATAAATTCAAAGAAAGAAAACAAATAAATATCTGTTCTCCTCTTCCATATATTAATTTCTTACTACTTTGGTTTTTTTAGTAAGAGATATTTCCCCAGTATAACTTTAAAATTCTATTGCCATGAATATTTCTGGTTGAGTTAATTTGATGGAAGCTCTGTTTAATCTTCCGTCATGTTCTGTATATATATCTCCAGTGTTCAGTGTATTTTCCCCTTCAGGGCAGAGCTAACTGATAATTCTTGAGATAAGATATGAAACACGTTGACAAAATATAGCCAGTCTGCCATCCCTTCAGCGTCCTTCTCAGACACCATTCCACACAAATGGCATCAGCAAAAGGAATTCAGTATGTTACTATTTTAACAAAACAGACATCTCTAGTGGCCCAATCCTGCAGAATACCATCCCTGTTCCTGTGTGTAGCTCAACTACTTTCAGTGCAGCTCTGTCACATGTCTCTCTGCAGGATCAGAGACCGGTATTTAAGGCATGATCCTAAGAAATAGTTATTTTATCTTTATATTCTTAAAAACCCACATGATTATAAGATAATAAAGAGCAGACTCTGCATGTACTTGATCTATATCCCACTGAAGTAAACTGGAATCTTTCCACTAGTGTCTACAGGCACTGAGTTGGATCCTATATGAAGCCATCCACCATCCAGAGTAGTTTTCATAGGGAACAGTATTTTTAAAGGAGAAGGCAGACAGAATGTTTTTTTTGCCTATTTCAGTGTGTTTGTCTGTTTCGACAGAAAAAAATCCTGATTGTCCGAGGGAAGCTGCTTAGCTTAAATGTACTGAAACTCTATGATCCATGTGGGATATTTGCCAGGACTCTCCATCTAATCCTTGTGTATTGAGAAGTCATTCTCATTTAATTCACGTAGCCATAATATCTACTTCAACTTGCAGAAAAATAGACCTGAAAAATTAAAACTTTGCTGTTTGAAACCAGACTTTTCATCTGCTGGGCAAGAGAGCTGACATAAGGAAAAGATGGTGGGGAGTTGCATGTTATGACTTAGCAGGCCATATGACACATGTACACTCATCATTGTGCTTTCCCCCTTACCAATACTACCTCTCTCTGAGTTAGTCTGTAGAGATGCTATTCTAATGACCTGCTCAACCATGGGGTTTACAGGAAGTCGTTCACTAATAGCAGCGAGGTGGTGAGGCAGTGGGCTATGGGAAGGTTGATATTATTTTTTAAAAGACTGCGTGCTTGTATTGTCATTCACACTTCCTAGGCTGATTGTTGTCTTAGGCTCTAGCCCTAAAATCTGCCCCACGTGGTTGAACCCCTGAGCATCATGTAGAACCCCACTGATCGATATGATATTCCATGGGGCACACAGGTCTGCCCATATGTACCAGACAGCACCATCAAGACATTAGGCTGAAAATTCTTCAGCACAAGGAATGTGTCTCCATGTGTTATAGGCCCCTTATTCTCTAGTTAAGTCTCCCTGGGCAGACCTCTGGACAGCTGCCTGTGGTCACTGATTTCTGTGGGGCTGCCTTCAGGGTTCTCAATACAGGATCAAGGCCTATCTCTGGAAAGTGCTTAGCGCACGGTGAATACTATTTTGAGTCTCATAATAATCGCATCAGCCCTTAATGCCCAAAAAAGCCAGCTCTGAGAGTCCTCACTATAAAAATATAATTCCTAGGATAATCAAAATATTTTCTGCACAACAAGAGTCTAAACTTGGGCCTGAAGTCTTATTCTAATTTACGCTCTAGCAGTATATTAGGGCCTTAAGATAGACAAAAAATAAATTTACATCCACTTTAACAGCCTTTGCACTGTCAGAGTTATGTAAAGAGGTTTTAGAGTAAAGTAGTGCTAGTTTCATCTAAGGCTGGGACTCTGTTTTTAAACATTTTCTATAAAGTTATAGGACAATGCCAGAGAGACATGCCTGAATGACTGCAGAGAACAGGTAAGAAATATAGATAGGATTCTAGTATGAAGACCTATAAAGTGCAAGCTTGTTTTTTTCCTTTGCATTGGAAATACCCTGAAGACTGGATTGCACCTGCCCATAATCTTCAAATCTTTTCTTTATCCCAAAGGCTTAAGACTTTCTTTAATAAGAAGCAAGAATGTTTTATGTCAAAATTTAGAACTCTAGTAGTAAATCATTTTATGACAAAAAGCCATCTAAAAATAGGATATGTATATCAGACAAATTTAGTGCCTTGACTTAGTGGAGATTCTTCTACTCTAAACATACATGAACTTCCATGAAGCTATCTGTGTGGCCATTTGATGGGCTTCCTAGGACCCTGACCACACACTTTTCTCTCTTCCCTATATTTCAGGCCTTCTCCTTCTATCTTTCACTGCCAAACCAGCCATTGTCTCTCTTTCCCCTGAACTCTTACACCTCATTAGTAGACACAGATGCAGATATTTCTTTACACGCAAGCACCTGCCCTCACATCCTTGGCATCCACCTCCAAGTCAGAGTTCCTGTCATGTAGCATCCCTTTGTTCCTACCAGAGCAAAAATAGTAAAAACAGAATTGGTACATATTTTAATGTTTTAATAATATTCAGATCTGGTTAATATAATTTTTAAAATCCATATAAATACACAATCAATGACAGTTTAGTTTTGCATGGTCTATTCTTGCATTGTAAATGTTTACTGAATTATAATCAATAAAACAGATTGCTTTCTTACTTAAAAGTAACTAGTCAATATATATTTCTGTCTAGTGTAGAATATAAATAAAATGCTTCTCTGCATTTATTAACCAGACACAAAGATGACCAGCATTTGTCTTGTTAATATACAGCATGAAAGATCATCTGTTTGACTAAAATGGTTTCCAGTATCTCCATTCCAGTTTTGTACATGCATAGCTTTGATAGACTATTCTCTTGTGGTCGCAGGGGCCGGACAGGAAGTACTTCTAGTCCTGAATTGCAACAAAAGAAATTTAGGTTGGCTGTTAGGAAGAACTCTAACTATGAGAGTGAGCCTGAGCAGATGATTAGTTAAGTTGCAGAATTGGAAGATTTGAAGAGCAAGTTAGACCAATACTTGTCTGGGATGGTTTAAACATGGAAGATTCTGTAAGGGCTGGACTAGCTGACCTCTTGAGATCTCCTCCAGACATATTTTTCAATTATTTTAATATCCTTTTGGGTGAAATTCCCCATCCATTGTCTCCAATCAAAGAAACTTTGTTCTATATGAGCACAATCCTTTCAGACAAGTTTTATTTACTAGCAAGAATGAGGGGTTGGGGGAAAATACTTCTCTCAGTGTAAAATAATTCTAATCACACCTTGTTTTTTAACAGAGCTGTAGGATTGCCTTTTTCATTTCTTTCTAATGATGAACAGCTAAACTCATTTAATAGATATCAAAGTATGTTTTTAAAATAAACTATGCCTCTGTATGACCAGAAAGCAATTTCATAGAATCCAAGAAAAGTAAGACTGGAAGGGAAATTCAGAGGTCATCTAGTCCAACAGTTAAATACAGGTACATGGAGTTAAGCAATTAAATCACAATGGTTTCATAAGATTATTCAGTAGAAGTTTTTTTGCACACTTGAAATTATATTCTGCTCTCAAACTCAGATATGACTCCCATTACTAGGTACATCTCAGTCAGGATAAAAATATTTGTCCGAACCATTCTAACCATACATCTCCCTTATTCTGAGTATCAACCCTAACTTACGACTGCAAATACAATTCTTGACAATGTGCTCTCTTTTTCTTAAAATACACAGATACATGTTGTAATCTTTATATATGAAGGAAAATATTTACAAGAGCACTGTTCTCACAATCTGACTCATGCATGTGAAGCAGCAGGTCCATGATTTCAGTGATACTCAGAACAGATATAAGGGTCTGGACTATATTTTCCAGGACTTGTTTAGACAGAGTTGATCCTGTCTTGAGCAAAGGGTGCTAGATGACCTCTTGAAGCTACCTTTATTCCTACTCACTTCTAGAGCAAATGATATCAAAGACCCCATGGTTTCAACTGACTTCAAAGAGCAAAGTTAAGTCAACAATGAGCCCTTGTGAAAAATCTCTCTGCCATTTACTTTCATTGGTATTACAGTGGGTGAAGTTATATATTACACACAGACCATACTAAGTGACCATGCCCCTCACTCCAGAGCAGTGATACAGCCCAAGTGTCCTGGCTTCTAGCCATACCCCTACACCTGAGCCCTCCAGTGGCAAGTCAGAGCTGTGCAGGCAAGAAATGGTATTAATCTTTACCATGCGACTGTTCACTGCACATCCAAACTTTAACACTGCTTAGCATTCCACAGAGTTAGCATGGCCTATGTGTAATGTGCAACTTCACCCTAACTTCACTCCCAGTTCAGTGCTCTACTTGCCCAGCACTCACTGTATCAGGCATATAACTTGCCAATCTGCTTCTAGTTCCAAATAGAGACATGTCTCCACCTGCAACACTTGTTAAGTAGTATTTAACTAACCAAGCGAATGAAGTACATAGTGACAACAGGAATGCATGTTTTAGGCCATACACTTCAGAAGTGCCAAGTGGTCCCATGTACTTTATTCAAGAAATGCAAAAGCTGTGCTTACATAATGAGCATGTATTGAAAGTGTCTCCACAAAGGACACAATGAAGACATTTAATTATTTAACGCTTTCTTCATATCTTTCCTTGAACTCATAAAACATACTGTCCCCAAGGATGGATTTCACCAATAGTGTCTATTATACAGTATGTGCCAAATGGCTGCACTGTCCTGATTTGGTTTTACACAAGCTGAGCTTTACCCCCATCAGACTTTTCAAATTGCAGTTCACATTCAGAAGAGACACAGATAAGCTACTACCCAGCTTCTTTTTGTATAACATTCACCATCTTTATTCAGACATTTGCAACAAAGAATTCTATATCCAAGAGCCTGGATTACTGCAGACCACAATATCCCTTGAACTGTGGTTATAATTAGGCGTCACATCCATTGTAATCTTATGGACGTCATCATGTGTCACTTGCATCTGTTGACAGATCTCATACCAGGCATATCACTGAAATGGCAAGTCTGGAGAGGGCAGCCCACAATAGAAACAATGGCATTTATTTTTGTCCTGTTCCAAGATTGTCTCATAGAAAATATATGTTGCCAACTGCCGGGGCTGCACTGGCTATTATATTACCAGCTTGAACAAAAATCCAGGCCCATACATCTACAGCCTTCTCATGGCAATTATGGCAATAGAAAATGTACTTTCTGTAACTTTTTTTAGCACCATGAAAAAAGACTGATACCCTTATATCATTTCATCCAGCAGTCTATCAAAAAAAGTATTTATTAATTATAAAACTCCTTTCCAAGTGATATTGTTGTTATTCTTAAACTTATGTATCACTTAAACAGTCTCTGCTCTAGACAAGCAATGTAGAATAACAAAGCAACAATACATCTAATCTATCAATCTGCTCTGAACTATTAACTTTCCAATGCCCCATGCTCTAACTGGATTGAAAAATCAAATGCGTAAAAGCCCAAGGATGGAAATAATGTGTCTCCTTTAGCAACTCACTTGAGCTTTTCCTTACCAAAAAAATGTTTTAAAGTGGAACAAATCAGATTTACTTCAAACTCCAAATACACCTCCCAAAATCCAAATTCTCTGAATAGTCAGTTTGCACAACAGGAAAACTCTTTTGAAGCAACTGACAGCTTTTGATCTGCCACTCTGTTATCATCATAAATACAGTAGTCCATGTGAACATCAGCCACTCTGCAAAGCATGAAGACTCAAAAAGGGCAGGGTGCTATCATCACGAACTAAAGTAAAAAAATCTAGTTAATGTCACTTGGAAGTACAAAATGCCTGTGTATAAAACAGCACAGCTGGTTCCCAGAACTGCTGTAGCTGTGCAGCACAAATTAGAAATCGTATTATTAGGCCCTTAGCTTTTGCTGAACAGATCAAGATGATTCATTTGTAACAGTGAACTGTTTTCTATGCTTTAGTTGGCCATAGGTTACAGCAAAATAGAATCATTTGCTCATCAGGTAAAAAGAAGTCAAGCTAAACTAAATTTCAGTGTTGACTGGTGCAGTTTTATTACTGGTTCAGAGGATGCAATTGAAATAGCAGTCAGTATCATGCAAGGACCAGAATTCCAGCTATCCCCATCTCTATCATGTTACTCATGCACATTGCACAGTTGTGTCTGGGCAGCTGCTGCCACTTGACATCTAAACAAACAAAAACAAAAAAGTAATGGGGGGTGGGGAGGTTTGCAATTTTTTTGCTAGAAGTAAAATGAAATGCTGGCCCTACTGAATTCAAAGGAGAAAGATGACCCATTCATGCAGGGGCAAGATTTCACTATTAGTTTCCAGAGTATCTGTGAGATTCAACTAATAAATTACTCTTACTTTATTAGGGAGTTTATATAGCATTCATTTCTATAATTTTACAAAGGAATCTGTACAAATTCTACAGTTTGTAGAATTTGGTATTACAGTGGGTCAAATCCTGCCTTTAAATACTGACACATGCACTTTAATATCTACACTTCCTCTAAAATTTTCCCTGACAACTGTTCTTATATATTAAGAAACAGAATTTAGTCTAATAGCCTGATGGAGGCTATATTTTGTACTTCTGCAGCCAGCCAGTGACCTTTTTACCCCAGACCTGACAGCTGGGAATTGCAAAAATTAATTTTTGCTTTAACAAGTAACACAAACATTTCAAAAGCCAGACTTTCTATACCCCTATGCAATTTACAGAGAGGTGCTTTGAGCTTAAGCAGTTTCCACTTTTTCATGTGCTAAAAATGCCATATTAGTGATTATCTACTAGAGTATTAGAAGCGTTGACCATGCTTTCAGTAGGGTTATAAATTTCACCAGTGCTCAGAAACAAGAGTACAACTAGCTTCTGTGATGGGACAATGGTCCTCTCACATGCAAAAGGCAGAAACTTTGCTTCTACAGTGAGACGTTCCAAGGATTTTATGGGATTGTTTCTGCGACTTGATGAGAGATGGGTACCTTTCAATCCCTAAGTCACTGAATAAAATGAGCTTTTAAAACTAAGCCTGAATATTACTCCAGACAATATTTTCTCAGCCAGATTGTTCAGTGGACCTGTCAGTAAATTCTATTCTAAATTAACTTAACGGATCACAATTTCAAGAGTGGCCTCTTCAGTTGTTTCTGGGAATACTCGTGACTGTTCATGTTTGTTTGCACCTGGATGTTGGGCAATTCCATGCATAACTTCCCATTTATACTTGCAATTATCTTATTTTTTAATAGCTGCACACCCACGTTCAGAGACCACTTCTTGAAAATCTGGCCCCAAACACGATTTTAGAAATCCTGTCACCCATCAAGAGGTGAACATGAAAATACTGAAACACTTGTCACTAGAACTAGGGACTCCTAAAGTGAAAGAGCATTTTATAAGTTATGTATGCTTTTTAGCTATGTTATATAAAAGAACAGTTGATAACAGATTGCAATACAAAATTAGAGAAGCTGATTCCCTAGTGCACACCCACTGACAATTCCAGATGCAGTATTATAATAAGGAGGTGATAATTATTCCACATACACAGACACACACACAGGCAGTTTATCTCCTGACCTTCCTTTGCTGTTTCTCCCATGCTGGGTCCAGAAGCAGGTCTCTGTCCCATTCTTCCTCTTGGATCATGTATTCGTCCTCTTCGTACTGGTAGTTGTACTGCATGGTTGTTTCTATCTGGTTCATGTTGCTTAAGGATCAGATTCAATTCTGTGCTTGCTGTGGGATTTTAAAGAAATATTTTATTTTTTGATTGGTATTATGCAGCAGTGGTTGGGGAAGTGGAATTTCCTTCTGCTTTTGAAGCAACAAGATGTTAATAGTGACAAATCTTGTCTCAGGAGTGGCTAAAGCTGTTAGGGTGCAGGTAGGAGCTGACCTGTGGTGACCTCCACTCCCTCCCTCCCTCCTTGCTGCTGCCGCAGGTCCCTGTGGCTGAGTCCCCAGAGAAGCTCCGGCTCCAGCTCATTGCTGCTGCCTATTATCCCCACTGGCTGTCACATGGCTCAGCAGCCTGGAACATCCTCCCCTCTCTCTGTCCCCTGTTTGCAAGCTGCAAGGCAGCTGTCCAGCCTGATTGGCTGAAGCAGGATGATCCACTGATATAAAGAAGTGGGTGCAATTTTTGTCTTTGCTATGATGTGCTATTAAGAAGTTACACAACTACATTTCAGTGTTTTATGGGCAGTGAAAAGCAAAGTTTTATCTATAGGAGGGAAGGCTCATTATAAAAATTTATCACCTCTATGTACAGTATCTCTTCAGTGGTTCTGTGGCTTGCATTAACATCTCTTGTGTTAGTGGGTATGTATGTGTGCTTTTGTATGTGTATAACTGTGTGTAAATGCATGTGTTATGGTATATAAGAACTGTAGGATATCTTTTTTTATTTTGGTGGGTGCATTTTGAGGTCAGGGAGCTGATTACAACTTGTACATTTAAAAATAAAATCTAGCTGACAATGCATTATAATATGGTACCTACTGTTCTTCCATAGCTGCCCAGCCCATGAGTCACTTCCTTTTCTACAACGGGGAGATGGGCAAAGGGGGACATGATGAGCCAGTGCAGAAAGTCATATACACCAACAGAAAAAATAACTTACTAAATAGAGCAGGCTTGAAACACAAACCAGAGAATAAAAGCTAGATCTAGCAAAGTGCCTCAGCTCCTACCTACTGAAATGAATAGGGAAAAGAGAACGCTTAGCCCTGGGCAAGACCTAGCTGCAAATGAGAACACATACAATTATAAAGTCAGGTGACTACTGAGGCAAGAGCTTGGCAAATATCTGGTGGAAAATTTAATGAGGAAACTCTTAACTCTCTGTATACTATAAGGCAAACACTGGAAAGGTAGGACTGTCATTAGAAATGCAGGCAGACACATCCCATGCTGACCACATCATATCATTTTAGTTTTCTAGGGGGCAGCATTTCTGCTGGGAATTGGCAGCTTTACTTTGTGCTATATCTAGTCTATTACTAACACTTACCCAGGTATCTCAAGCAAAAGTCATCCCTGTGCTACAATTTGTATTGGGCATAATTCTGCCCTCTGTTACAAGTAGAAAAATACTAACCCGTGCTGAGAGTCAGTCGTAGATTAACTCAAATAAGAGGTCAGATATGGGTGGTAGGTCTCCCATATGGGAATATGAGTGATGTGCAATGGTGAGTAGCAATTGATTGGATAGCACGTATCCAAATTCCAACTTGCTGCCGTGCCATTTCTACTTGACTTTCATAAAGAAAAAAAATTTAAATCCTGTATGCCTAGATAGATAGTAAATAACCTATGAGTGTAACTTTATGATTGCAAATCTGGATGCACAAGGCAGTCAGGAAATGAACATTTAACATTCTCACAGCAACTCTTCACTCCTCTACATTACTACACTTACTATAATCTAAGATTAACATGTAATGGTCTAAGCAAAATATGCTACCTGGACCAATTCCTCTCTCACCTAAATCACACAAATACACTCATAATTTACTTCAAAAGTTGAACCCATGTTGAAGGTTAAGGGTGTGCTTCTAAATTAGGATCATAGTGCAAGAAGGCAAATACCTTAGGAAGGCTAGAGCCTCTAGTAGATAGTCATAAAGCAACCCAATTTATACATACATATCTAAATATATACATTGTAAATAGATTTTATGATTCTCTTCTTTACTACTGTATCATCACTTGTGCTTCAGTAAATAATTATATAGTAGGTCTGAGTGTTGCTGTAGATGTGATGGTCCAGGAAATGTCTAAGAAAGGACTTCTTGTGATATCTTATTGGGCAAACTGTATACTTTGGAGAGCTGCTGGAGAAATGTTTGAGCACCAAGTGCCCTTCCTTAACTCTAAGCTCAGACTTCTGCAGGCTTAAACCTCAGGAAGGGCACTCAATCATAAAGTAGGGTTGTAAGGAACCTCATAGTGTCATCTAGGCAAACCCCCTGCTCAAGACAAGATCATTGCTGACTAAACCATCCCAGCCAAGTGCATCTTATCTGCTCTTGAAAACTTCTAAGGAAGATTTAAGTCCTGAACGCTTGTCCAACAGCTCTCCCAACTATACAGTTGACCCACTTACCTCTCATAAACAATTATGAACTATAAAACAAAAAACAAATTTCTAGCTACTCTTTAAACACCAGAGAAGAAGTCTGAAGTTTTGTAGGTGCAAAATAGTCAAACTTCTGTTAGGAAAATCTTTGTAGTAAGTAAATTTTGGGGAATCTATACCCCATGTTTTTAGAATTTGTTCTGTAAGTTTTACCAGTCTCTCCAGAAAAAATAAATCTATTCTTGTGTGAGCTGTAGCTTGTAATTTTTCAAATAGATGGTTCTGCTTTTTGTTCCTGCTGCAGGTGCTCTCACTCTGCACACATCTACCCATCACAGCAAGTTTGTCCCACTACTGCCAAATCAATCCTCTTCTCCAACACCCATTTTAGTCTTTGCCAGTCTGCTCCTCAGTTCTACCAACCTCACCTCCTGGGATTCAACCCCTCATTTCCCCAACCACAGTGGAGTCCCCTCTCCCCTTTGCAGGATGGGACAGGGAAGCCATAGGCATCTTTCACCCCTCCCTTTTATCAGGCTAGGTGTTTTGGGAAGGGGCTGAGCAGGAGCAAAAAAAGATTGATTCTCTGAGCAAACATATAGGGAGTAGAGCTGCTCTGTATTGATGGGCACTTTCATGCCTGCTTCCTAAGCAGCCCAGATTGGCTACCTCAACCCCAAGAGGTGTGCATGTGAGGAAGTAGCCAATCAGAGAGGGGGGGTTCCCCCTGCTGAGCTGGAATAGTTAAAAGGCTGGAACTTCTTGCAGGACTGCAAGGATATCTCTAGAGCTCTCCACTCTCCTGACACAGTTGAAAAAAACATTAAAAGAGCTCGTAGTGTTCTTACCAGGAGGTGACACAGAAATACAATGTCACAGTGTATTTGGGAATTATCTGTGACTGAAATCTAGTGATAAGAGGGGACTGGTTTCTATTGAGGAAACTACAGTGGAATCACTACATCTTCATTTGCCCTTTTAATCTCTGCAGTGTGGAATCATAGGATGCTTTCTGCTACTCAGTGTGGAATAGTAAGGAAGAGGTTTAGTTAGCCATTAGTATTTTGCAGTGAAAGACTGGAAAAGGGGCTGGGTGAAGCAGCAGCTTAGTGCAACAGTCTTACTTCTGGAGACCTAGATTCAAATCATCTTAGCCTGACTTTTGCATTATACCATTTAATACTTCGGCATGAAAGAGAATGGTTGCTAAAGGAAAGGCTTAATGATGGATCAGTCAAAAAGTGTCAACTTTTTGGTCGAGAATTCACTTGATAGTCAGAAATATATGCAAAGAACTTAGTATACTAAGGACTTGAGACAGAAGAATGCTGGTTTGCAAATGAATGCTACATTTCATTCTATGGCGTTAGTCATGTGACCTGAAAGAGAAGAACAGCGATCATTATTCTTGTCACATAACAGGTCTCAAATAATTACATTTACACCGAGTACCTGCTCATACTGGTTAGCTCTGGTTAGCCACCCCTAAATCACTGGAAACCAAGTCGTGTGGAATTCTGAATGCAGTGGTTAATACTTTTTGCAAATAACTGAATCCACTTAGTATATACAATCACTACTGCAATATTTTTAATGTTGTTGGGTATTTGCAAATATAAAAAAAAATGCTACTTTATTTTAAACTCAGTGCATTCCTACACTGAGCCTCACACATGCCCAGAATAGGTAGTGTGTTACTATGACCTGGCTCGCCCAACATCTGTAAAGATCAGGGACTTTAGTGGGGCTTTTTTGGTGTGCTTTTATTTAATAGCTGAGCCGATTGAATCAGTTTTTGAGGTACTGCAAAATGCACGTGCACGCTCAGGTAGACACTCCCTGCGAATCAAAAGGATTTTCTCAATTAAGTAGATACAATTTTCACCTCCCTACACCAGCTTTAAACAACCTGTCCCACTGCATTATTTTAATCAATAGAAATTATCATATTTCACTGTATTTTTGTATCCTTTTTTGCTCTTACAGACTCCTTACTGTCCTGTCAAGAATTAACTCTTGCAACTTCTAGTGTTCACCTGATCTTTCAACCAACTAACCCCTTTCTCATTCTTTGTCCTCCAAAGCAGTGTTTCCCAACCAGCGTGCTGTGGCACAAAAGTGTGTCATCAGAAACAAACAGGTATGCCATGGAATTTTGCCATGTCAGTGAGCTACAATAGGTATGAGGATGGGGAATGCCTTAACAGGTGTGCCGTGGAAAATGTTTATTAATGTAAGTGTGCCTTGGGGTGGAAAAGGTTGGGAAACACTGCTCCAGAATTTTAATGATTTTTAAAGGGGGCTGTTAACATAAACTTTGCAACCATGTTTCTACAAGACCATTTCTCCAAATGAACCCAAATGTATAAGAACAAGTCATTAGTTTGATGATTCTATTAAGAAGATCAGCAGTGAAACAGTTAAAGGTGTTTAAAATTAAAACACCATTATTAGACTTCTAAGTTAGGATCTTCAATTGTGAACGGAGCAGTATCTGTCAGAATTGTATGGAGCTATTTATAATATTCTTATTAAATTCTTCTTGAAGTAATGTCCTTGAGATAAGGAAAGAAACACACAGAGCTGTAAGATTCACTTCTGGGTTCAAAATAACTGCTGACATTGTTGAAGGATCTCAAAGCATTTTACAAACTATATTTAGGAATAATTTCATCTGCCATTGAAACATAGCTGTGGATGAGGTGCAGCAGGAAATATTTATAGGCTATACAGATACTACCAATGCATAGAGCAGGACTACAGAGAAAATGCTGACTGCACTGCCATCACCAGCCTTTGCCAACATTTTGAGAGGGAGGAAAGTGGTGTTGGCCTAAAACTCAGGGGATGGCCTCCATGACCTTGAATAAGTCACTTAAGGTGAGATGTTCAAAAGGATTTAAGTGGCCTCACTGCTTTTCTTGAAGTGACCAGGAACAATATCTCTGTACTGCCATTTCCCATCTGTAAAACAAAGGAAATAATTGCTTCTGCTTCTTGTCTGTCTGTCTCATCCATTTATAGCTAAGTTTTTTGAAGAAATGGGTTTCTCTCTCCACATGTGTTTATATGGATTCTGTGTACTACTTCATACATATACTGAAGCATCCAACATAATGAAGAAGTTGGAAGTGACTAGTGCCAATAAAAACCTAGACTACACAGCTCATTACTTCCAAGAATAAAGGGAGCAGTTGGCTCTTACAGTTCCCTGTTTCCTTCTAAAATTCCTACCAAAAGAGGGACAGCTGCTTCTCCTCAAACCCTCCTGCATCTGTACTGACTTCACTCTTAGTTTTACAGATATCGCCTGGGCAACTTCAAACATATCTCACAAGGGTGATACAGATAAATGAAGCAAGCACACATCAAAGACTTCAGAAGTCAAAAGTTCCTTGTCTACATTAGAATTATGATGCCAAAGGAAATGCTATATGCAATCACTTACCTAGTCTATTAATGTGGGAGCATTGCAGTACCACTATATGGACATCACAATGTAATACACACTATGACAGGTGGGAAACTACAAATAGTGCTGGCATAAGATTGGAAAAAATGGTGAGACAGATCCAGAATTTTCAAAATGGTTCAGAGAGACAAGGGATGGACTGGGGGTATAGAATAGCCTATTAAAAACTTTCAGGAGAAGAGTCATGTGTTCTCAGAACCTTGGCCGTGCTCCTGTTCCACATGTTGGCTCAAACTTATCTTCAAAGAGAGTAAGCAAGAAAGAAATTAACAGTTCAAGTGCAGCGCTAAAGCCTTTCACTGAACTATACTGTGAGCACTTCAAGAACGTCAGAAGATTAAAAAAATCCCTCTCTCAGCCACATGTGGCCTGTAGCTGATAGCACCCTGAACATTTTTTAAAGATGTGCTTCACTGTTCAGCAATGCTGTGGGTGTTACTGAGAAGAGAGCTGTGTCAGATAATGGTCAACAAATATTTTGAACTAAATCAGAAATTATAGGCAATAACTAACTATGGTGATAAGCTTTAGAGAGGTAGATAGGTGTGTTAGTCTGGAGTCAGTCAGAAGGCAGGGTAGAGATGCAAATAAATACAGAGAGCTTTTGTACAGCCACGTGATCTCCAAATGTTTGACAAGGATTCAAATGCAAGCCTGGTGTAGTTGCTGGCTGCTGGAATGAATTTGGTCTTTTAGTTGATCCTCAAAACACCCTTATAGAATAAGTAGAAGGTAGCAACTTTAATCTGACAAATGACCAAAAGCCAAATCAGCTTCTCATGTACATCAGTATATCAACACTGACTTCAAGTGATTTGCACTGATGTAAGAGAGAGAGGAGATCAGACCAGAGTAAGGCATTTGAGCTTATTATGCAGTCTTTGGCAAATCATTTAACCTTTTTCCCAATATTCCCTTTGTACATTAGGACAACTTTTACCTACCTCACAGAAATGATGTAAGGGCGAATGGTGGTTAAGCATTTAGAAAATGAGAAGTGATTATATTTATATAAGCCGTGCATGAATAGGGCAGTGGTTCTTCCAAGGTCACATCTAAATTATTCACAAATGCAAATCTTGCACTTCTGGTCCACTTCTGGGCCTGCTGCCGAGCATGCTGGGGTCCCCCCCATGCTCCTGTGGGACGCTTCATCCACCCCACCATCGCAGCATTCACAAGCCGCCTGATACCTTGAGGTATGTAGAAAAAACATCTAAAGTTAGGTCTACGTCTGAATCGTCATATCTGTTAGACACCGACTCCATGTGACGCCCAACGACTAGGGAGACGACAATCCAATTGCTCATGAATCCTGTTACTCATTAGCCAAAGCAAGCAGGGAGCAAACACTAGCACGCATTACTCACAACAGCTTTATTCAGAATGGAGACAGCTTTGGACTAGCTCCCAAAAAACGGACAAACCGGGGAGCTGCACTGAACAATAGTTCTTTTCACATTTTATACACCTTGATTCATGTTTATTAACATTTACTCCACCTCTGTCCCTCTTTCTGTTCCACCCATTTCAAGCTCCACCTCTATTTACTGTTTACTTCATTAGCATGGAATTCCCTATGCATTTCCTTCATTTACATGCCTCTCTGCTAAGAGCACATGTGTAAGACTTTGACCCCAGCTTCTTTCAGTGAATTGTTGTTTCTTGCTGGTTCTTTCTGGTTCTTTGCTGATTTCAGCACCATCTCCAAGGTCTTGCTTCTGCTTTATCTCCTGACAATAGCTGCTGGGCTGCATCTTGTTCTTCTTATACAATGGGATCTAACACTACAACTTTGTTAGAAAACTGCTTACCTAAGTGTTTGCAATGTTATTTTTAATATATCATTCTGCCTTGTGACCAGCAGCTTTTGCTGAGACACATATTAAAGCCTTTATTCAGCTGCAAATCCAGTGCTTCCCAAAATCTAAATAGTGTCACCCTAACAATATCTTCCTGAATCTCTCCGAATCAATTTGGAGGGTTCTGATACCATTCAGAGAGATTAAAGGGTCTCCTGATTCAATTCAGATTCGGAGATTCGGCCACTGAATCGGGCTGAATCTCTGCCGAATCGAATCAGGGACCAAAGCTTCACACAGCCCTGCCAGCTCCATTTTATCACCAGGTCAACATTTCCCTCCTTCCCTAACTACCTGTCTAGCACCTATGGTCTTCCATGACCTCTGATCCTCACTGCCATGCATTTGCATTTTCAAAGACCTGCATTTTGCATATTGGTTTCTATTCCACCCAGGAGAGCACACAAATACCAGTAGATGCTCCCTATGCCTGAAGAAGGATGTTTGTGCCCAAAAGCTTGCAACGATCAATTTTTCCAACTATTTAGTTGGCTAATAGAAGATATCATGTTTACCCAAAGAACCCTGTCTGCTCTGACTTGTAGTCATTTCATGCAAAGTTACAAAATATTTAGATCCTCAAAAGCACAAGCAGACCCCTAATAGCTGCCCCCCTGGGCAACCCAGGGCAAGAGAAATGAGAGGCAAAAAGCAAGAAGAGTAGCTCAGTGAAGTGGCTGCTATCCTGGAAGTGAAGGGGCCTTGATTTCTAACCTGGACCCTTACTTCCAGCATGGCAGAAACTTCCCCAATGCTCCATTCGCCATCAGTTTTATTCACTGAATGCAAGGTGCAATGGCTCAGCTTCAAAAAAAGGTTTGGAAAGGGGTTGAATAAATGCCTAAGATGTGACATAGTGGTTATAACATTGTGCTGAAAAGTCAAATTCAAACCCTCTATGGATAAGTGAGGTGTATGATATGGGTCACCCATTTCCTGGGCGAGTCCTCTAACCTCTCAGCTATTGGAGCTAAACCATGGGACAGTCCTCCTTTTTTTCTGGAACATACACTCAGGCACACACATATCTAGCTAGTCTGCTTGTGCTCAGTGTGCACATGCATGCTTATGCATGTATATTGCAGAGGTAAAAGAAATCGCAAACTCACTCTTTGGCCAAAAGGGCCACTTACAGGGCCACTTACTGCTATTTAGGCACACAAAGTGAAATAGAATTCCAGTTTTTCTGTCTAATAATTTAGTAAATTACTGAACTATCATTGTTTTAAAAAATATATTTCCTATATCCAATATTATACTGTATAGAGAAGTGATTCTCAACCAGGGTGTCACAGCACCTAGGATGCCATGAGATCCTTTTAAAGAGTGCTGCAGGATGCTGTGCAATATTAGCACTGTTACTTGTGCAAATACCTACATGATTCACAAGATAAACCCAGAGATTTAAAATAGGAATTCACACTGTGGAAAACATTCTGGGGTCTTTCTGAGTTCTCTGCAATAGAAGAATTGCTCTACTTTCCAGTAGTCAAGAAGAGTCTCTTTTTTTAATCCTCATCATTCCCACCACCACAACCACAATAGTGCATACAGGTTCCAATTGAAATCGAGACTTCAGTATGATAAACACAATATAAATGTACAGGAAGCAGCAGCCTAGTGCATTTAGACACAACATTTGTTAATTAAGCAACAATAAAACATAGATTACTTAAAGCTCAACAGTGTGTAACTGGATGGGCTTTAATTGTTATAATTCCCCACTGAGGCACATCCTGGATACCCTCCTCTCCATTTTGATATTGAAAATGGATCATATCATCTTCAAAAATGAAAGCTGTTTTAAGAAAATTACACATGCTGCATCTCACATCAAAATATTTGCTGACCACTAATGGAAAAAAAGCAATTGAAGCAGTGAGAAGGGCTCTTGGCTTGAACAAGCAGCCTGAAAGGAAGGACCGTTATTTATATTTAGCACCTATAGATATGGATAACAGTATCTCTCTTTCAGGAAGGGAACTGTGGTTCATCTTAACATTTCAAACAAAATTTAGCAACTGGCTAGCTGACAAGCAAGTAGAGGTTCAAACAGCTGTGACCCAGAAATGGACAGCTGTACCATATATGATTTGCTGCCTTTATTTATTTATTTATTTTGGTTTTATTTTAGCGAGAAAGGAAAAATGCTCTAACCTGGCACATCTATCAACTTTTTGCTTTTGATTTTCACCTTCAACTTTTGATTTTCTTCCAACTTCTATAACTAGTATAGCCCTAATATTGAAAGGTAAGTGACAAAAAACTCAGTGTTATTCTACTTGTTAGATATTACGTTCAAGCCAATGTGTACTTTTATGGAGAATCAAATGTTATATCCAGCTAATTTGTTCTGTTTAGCTGGTAGTACTGCCCTCACCACCAGTCTCTGAATGGTTTCCCTAAGTGTATGAAGCAATATGACTCTCATCTGCCACATGGGTCATTCTTTCTGCCAGTAACAGTTTATCTGATGTAGATATCTTTTCCAATTGCTCTGTACCTCAAATCATACCTCTCAACCCAGTAAATAAAACACATGACAAAGGGCTAAACTGGTAGCAGTTCTGATGAGATAGATGTCTTGCTGAATTATTTTATTGTAATAAATGCACAGTCCCTAAAAACTGATTCGAGTTAAATTGTACTTTGATAGCAATAAAATGTAGCAGTACTTTGCTTCATCAAATAGTTCAGTGTTAAGATAATCACTAGGGGCTCCTATACACATGCAGGGAGGCTGCTCCAATGCACTGTAATTACATGGTGGTGCTTTAGTTCATTTAACGAGTTTTAGTTAAAGCACCCACACTGCCACATTTCAGCGCGGGGACGCTGATACATGTGACGCTCCGGGTACTTCAATTAACATGGCTCTCAGAGTCGCGCTAATTAAAGCCCCCTCCCAGAGCACGTTTATAAGTGCCCTAGGTCTTTTTTCTTGGTTTCTCATAGTATCTAGCCTCTATTCTCTTGGGGCAAGAGTAGGCAGGAGTGGGGAGGGGAGCTTTAGTGCCAAAATGTATATAGACTACACAGATATGCATGCACAGAGCTTCTTTGTCCTACGCCGAGTCCTTTCCTTGCACTCTCCTGGTCACAGGGTCTTGACTGTTTATTTGTGGCTGTCTAAAAGGATCGGTAAAAAAGTATGGACAAGTTCTTATGTGATTTTGATTAAAAACAGACACTTTACAGTCCTCTAGCCAGGAAGTCTAAAATGCAGTAAAATTAGGTTCTGAATAGTTCCTCCACCCATCCAGGGACTGTCTATTTATTATTAGCTCTGGAATCCAGCTACATGCAGAGCTTACTGTTGTGGAAATCAGCAATGCATTTTCCAAAAACAGTAACGGAAACATGGTACTGTCTGCCAGACTCCTTGGTAAATTAATGACATGTAGATTCTACCTAGCAAGTGAGCTCCTCCCAGCACTTGACTTCAGCTCAGCTAAAGAAAGAATCAGAATTTGTGCTTCGTTCCTGTAGCCTTTCCTAAAAAACTATTCCCTCTTTTCCTGTTCTGCCAAGCATCAGTTCAGCCCTCTGTACCCTCCTGACGACTATCCACATAGGGGGCCTGACTATTTCTCCCTTCAGGTACAGGAGTCATGCTCTAGAATAACTCCATTGACCTTGTTAGAGTTGCTGCTAATTTATGCCGGTGTAAACAAGTAGATAATCAAGCCCACAGGGTAGAAACCAGTCTTAATTCTTCATTCACATGCATTCAAACTTACCTGATATAACTAATTCTATCTTGCCATCTATAAGAAAAAGTTAGGTAGCACTAGAGGTAGCATTAAGTCCTTATCAGGGATAAACTGCATAGAGGTAGTGTCTGGGTAATATCAAAATGGTGGCAATTCTACCCTGAAAGTGAAGGATAACTGCTAAGCGAGGGGTCGATAGGGCAGAATGACCTAAAAACCTGAGAAGATGTAGGGCTGCAGCCCTACAACAACACATCAGAGATATATTCCTTACCTCCTACACGATGTCAGGGAATGCATTTGCCTCCTTCCACTTGAAGAATAGCCAGAGCAACACCAGTTAAAAATGAACAAATATAGAATTGCTTTGCACGGTGTAAAACAATTTTTGAGCAAGGTGGGAAAGGTGAAAAAGAATTTAAATGGGACTTTGAGTCATTCCAACCAATGTGAGAAATGTATTGATTAATGGACAAAAACAAAATTAATTGCTGAGGATAGGCATAATCTTATGGGACAAGTCTCTCTGCCACACAGTGGTCTCAGCCTGCTTCTCCAAAGCAGGGAGTGGGGAAGGGATGAGGGGGCAGGGGGGATCCTTCTTTTATGTTCCATCAGGCAAGCGTCTTGGTATGCACAGCAGTCCCACAGGTGCTGAAGAGTTACCCTCCCCACTTCCTTCCAGTCACATTCCCTGTTTATGGATGGCTGGTAAATATGATTCTAATAAAAGATTCCCGATTGGCTTGATTTAAATTTCTTTGTTTCACTGAAGCCTTCAGAGCTCGATCAGACCAGATTCTTCTTTGTAGTTATGAAAGGTGTCACTTAATTGGGGATGTATACTTTTAACAGAGGGATACTTTCTTATTTTCTTTCTTTTACACTATTCTCTCTGAAACAGTTTATCTAAACACTCTAACAACCACCCATTCAATACTTCAGGAATCAGAACTTGTGGCAGAGGTGATATCTTTTATTAGACCAACTAGACATTTGCAAAAAAAGGCTTTATTTGCAAGTTTTCAGACACACTCACCCTTCACCTTTCCTTGGGCAGAGGACAATGCAAAGATTGTAAAATTTCTCCTGGTTGGAAATGAAAATTCATATCTAGTTGGTCTAATAAAAGATATCACCTCTGCCACAAGTTCTGATTCCTTTTGCCTGTAGATCAATACAGCTACAACCTAGATACCTGATTATACTTCATGCATTTGCCACTGCAGCTTTGCTGCATCTGGTTCCAGACAGATTTCAGCACTAGGATATTGGCTTTCCTTGAGATGCAAATGCAGACTTCTGTTATGCAAAACCTGTGTGGCTGCCTGGTCTGAGTTGTTACACATGTGGGCTTTCTCTATGAGTACAACTGCTTCAGGTCTCTGATAGCCATACATGTCACGAATGTCAGTTCTCTGTTTACAATGGCCAATTTTAAATGGCCACAAAAAATGTTACCAAAATATTTAAACATTCACACTTAGCAGAGCACATGACAAAATAAAAAAAACACTTCATCTAGAAACTGTCAAGTTCAATTCAAGGACATATGATAGCTGACTGGTAAGATGATCTATCAACTATACACAAACAAATACCTACTTTTGCTTAAAAGCAGTGGGGCTCAACCTCTGGCCCACAGGGCTCCCTGCAGGGGAACAATGGCAGTGTTAATTGTCAAGTTTCCACAACTCCAGGGAGCCCTGCAGGTTCAGACCACAGCCTCAAACCTAGGGCCTCAACCTGCCTGCCAGTCACTCATCCGAGTCTGCTGGCTCCACATCTGAGGATTGGTGTGGAATAGGTGGTCAGAACCCAATATCTGGGTGTAGCCACCTGCCCACTCCCTGCACCTGGAGTGGCTAATTAGGATCAGTGGACCCTTTATTCCTTCCCATAAAAAATCCTGGCCTGGAAGGGGAAGTGTCTGGGCAACAAAACTCAATCTTGTACCCAGGCCTCCTCATCCCTGGTTTGTGCCTCTATTGACACAAGATGATAGATTATCTGGCTATCCAACTCTGCTTGCCCATGGACCCTGAGTTTGGCCTGACCCTTTGGCTCCCTAACCTGACACTGGTTTAATCTTCCAGACACCTGACCTGGCTAGCCTCCTGACCCTGCACTCTGCCTGACTCTCTGAATCTCTCACTTGGTTCCCTAGACAGATCATCTGGCTTCCTGGCTCCCCTATACTCAGACTCTGGACACACCCTTTGGATCTTGGTTGCTTCTTCTGTCCCTGGGTAACCCCCATGCTTGGTCACCCATGAACCAGCATGACACAGGCTGAATAATCTGTCCCTGCATGCTAGTTTGCTCCAGCACAGAGCTGGATCTGGATTCACAAAATCAGGTCAGTGAGTAACTGGATGTGGGTGCACAGAGTCAGGTCAGGCTGACATGCCAGACTGCACCCACAAATCAACCCCATGCAGGATCCAGCTGGCAGGACAACCCTGCACCTCTCATCTGGTGGACTTGGGTGCCACTGCTTTAAAGGGGAAAAAACACACCCCCCTGAAAATTTTAGCCACTGCAAAAACTAAAAGAAATATTATAGATATTGTAATAAGTTTACACTAGGAAGATTTTAATGCCACAGTATTACCTTGAACTCCTGTCAAATTTCAGAAGCACAGCAGAGTTGCATTTAAACAATAGTGTGGGAAATCTCAGGGAATGCATAAGGTGGATGGCAAACAGAGATGACAGTTCAAGCCAGTAGCACTCTTCTTTCTGAATCAGAACTGATTTAATCCTCCAAGATGACGCTGGGGGGTACTGTATTACTGGAGAAGCTATAGAGGAGACACAAAAGTTACATGCTAGCAATCTGCACAGACTAAGAAGCTTTTGAGAAATCATAAGAGTTGGGTGCCATACAAGTACATTGTAACTCTGGACATTTCCTTTCCGCTTCCTTAAATCCTCTCTGCAGGCTCTGCATGCAAGTTTTCTTCAATTCCTCTCCTTCGTTTTTGAGTACTGTCACAGCATGCTAGTGAACAGTTGTCACAGAATCCCCCCAAAAGAACCACATTTCAGCTGTGGATGAACACACTCACTTGCTATCGTTTGTGAAGTGGTTTGAGATGAAAGAGATGGTAGACAAGCATGCACTTGCTCAAGCAAAATAACTGCTTTTGTACCTCGTAGGCCAGTCTTTTCAAACCTGACCCAGGTACTAGTTCCCATGGGAGCCAAGAATATTACTAACATTCAAAGCAAGCCATTTTATTATTAGAAATTAGAAATACAGGATTGAAAGGGACCCTTAGGGTCCCCCAGCCCATCTCAATTTTTCTCCCCCTGCTCTCTCACAAGTGCCATCTCAATCTCTTCTGAAAAAGTATCAAACATCATCTGCATTAAGAAAAAATAAAAATCAGAAAAAAATTAAGACTTCAAAACTCATCGTTTCTCCCACCCCAATTCCAAGAACTCAGGAAATAGTTTATTTAATTTGTTTCACTGTTTCAAGAGTGGTTAATAGTAACTAGTAATAGAATTAATCTTATCTATAACTCCATAAAACCTGTTAGGACTATGCAGTAAGGGCAGGGAACAAGCAGTAGACACACTACTAAGAACAGGTTCAGGCTTAAAATACAAAAACCTCCCTCTCTCAGGAGTTCTGGTTTAACATGGAGAATATGAATTTGGGAAAAGCTTTTTCCTGCATTCAGCTTCAAGTTAGGAAATTACAAAACCAGTAAAATTACAAAACCTATCCCCATAGTTTCCTTCAACACTCAGTGTCTTTGTATTTCCTCAGAACATCCTTCCTGGTGCTTGATCAAGGACATTTCTTTCTGCCAGTGGGAAGTGTCTTGGCTCCTTTAATTCAGGAGCATTAAACTCACCTCATACCCTGGGCCTGATCTGAATAACAGGGCTCCTTGCAAGCCAGATCTGGTCTAGGGCACAGGGTGGCTCTGGTGGCAGTGGCAGCTCCAGCTCCCACTATGTGCCCTATGCCAGACCTGGAGCTGCCACCCCCATGTCAGAGCAGCAGCTTCAGCTCTGGCACAGAACACATGGTGGCAACAGCTCTGGCTCCAGGTCCAGCATGGGGCATGTAGTGGTGGTGGGGGCAGCAGCTGGGCTGGGCTGCATCAGCTGGTTAGCTCTCCTGCCACTTACTGCCATGTCAACAAAGGCCCGAGCACTCTGGATTCTGGGGCTGGTCACGCTCCCTAATTTCCTGTGACCCATCGGTAGCTTGGTAGGCCAGATACAGTAGCTCCATGGGTCAAATCCAGCCCACGGGCAATATATTTGACACCCCTGCTCTAATTCATTCCCAGATGGGAGTCTTGAGAGAACTCTGAACCCCTGCTTAGAGTTGAAACAAAAAAAACCCATAAAAAACCCAAACTAAACAAAACAAAAGAAACCCCCTTCTTGTCTTTGTGGGCCTCCTTCCAGGAGGGCAACAGTTGTCCTAAACATCTGTCAGAATCTATAACTTCCCATTTACCTAGCAAGAATATTTGAAACAGCTTGTAAACAGCCAATTTTAATCAGCTAGCCCCAAGTTAATTAAAAAAAATAGCTGTCTGCTGTTTCAGAAACCTGCACACTCTAATGTTGTTTTTTCATACACAGAAGTATGTACATACACAGAGGTCTAGATTATGTTTAATACGATTCAGTCTCCTGCTGACCTTGGGCAAAAAAAGATGTATACAGCTGTTAGCTACGCTGATAAATGTGATAAACTGGCATGTTGATTTGTATTACAGCATGCCAACTAATTTGCCAAATGAGCCGGATGTGAGAACAAGCAGGGGAGATGGCAATAGTCAGATAAACAAACATCCTCCAGATCAGATCAGCACCATCAAAACAGCAGGGTAGTAACCCTAAACAGTTCGCTTGTTGTGACAATAGCCTTCCTCACCCTCCCAGCCCAGATGTACATAGATAGTGCCACTTTAAACAGAGGTGCTGATCTATGCAAAGTTAACACCTAGCTCCATCTGGTCCAGGAGAGGAAAGGATAGATAGCTTCAGAAATAAGGCTTAGGTGCTGGCCTTCAGGTACTTTCTTTAGTCCCAGTCCTTCAAAAAAGTACAAACATGTTTAACGTTACACATGTTCACACCCCCACTGACATTAATGGAACTACTCCCAGTGTATAACATTGAGTAAATACATAACTCTTCAGAAAAATTTAGGCTTATACTTATATTGACTGCTTGCATGTCCTTTGTATGGCAAGATACTGCCATCTACAGTAGCCATAGCAGGCAATGCATTTGCTGTCAGATCTTGTCTGCAGCTTATTAAAAAGCAACTAAAATGGGCAAAAAAAATAGTGCCAGAACCTTGAGACCTAAAAATCTAACTTCTCACACTGTTGAAAAGCACTGAAAAACAGAACCATTTTCAAGATTTTTTTTTTTTTAACAGCGTTACCCAATTTTCTTTCCCCACATATACCAACTTATCCCAAACAATACTCCCTTCAGTAGCTTCCTGCAGGTTATTCCAGGAGGAGAAACATCAAGAAGAAATACAAGTTTCGATTTGGAGGTACATGACATAACACGGGGGTGTCAGAGAGCACTGGGAGTTTGGATGTGTTGACCTTCCTCAGGATTGCCCCCCACAAGTATTTACAAACCCGGAATCAGCACACCCAAGGCAGGAGATGAGCTCACATGGCTTTAAAAACATTTTATCTGCGTTCCTCTGGCTCCCACTCGCATCCCAAGGTCCTGCGGCGCTGGGAGAGAAAACACACACACACACTGACCAAGCCAACAGCTCGACTGAAGCCGCACTGCACTTTTAGCCTTCTTCTCATTAGCTTTCCGGCATTAGGCGCCTCACTCAGCCTCTTTGGCTCTGCTTCTGCCCAACTGGCAGCCCACAGGCACACCGCACCTCCCATGCCTCCAGCTGCCATGGTGGCTGGGAGCACTGGCTCCCCCCTCCTCTTCCATAGGGTTGCCAACTCTATTTGAACCTATTCTAGGAGGTTTCATCACATTACATAATGGCTGCTCTACTGTACTGAGTAGACTTTGTCAGGAGAGCAAATGCACATCCCTACTACATTTAAAAAACCCACTGGACTGCTGTACAAGTTGAATTTCACATTTAATATCTATTTTAATGAATGCCTTATCATTTATCTGCTGGGTGACTCTCAGCAGCCTCCTGGAGATTGCCCTGGAGCCTCCAGGAATTAAATATCATTCCTGGGTGGCAACCCTACTCTTCCAGGTTCTGGGAACTCGTGGGTGCAGGCCAGCGTGCTGGGAGCAGGGTCTGCATTGCACTCTGGGGGGAGAGGAGTCACGCTGGGCACAGAGCAGGGCTGCTGCCCAAGGTGAGGCTGGCCCAATGCCTGCAGCCTGAGCCCCCTCCCCAAGGCTGGGTAGCCCTGTTCTGCCGCAGAACCTGAGGCACCAAAACCCATTTCCTCAGAAACGAGCCCTCCACCACGTGCATCCCGGAGCTGGTGCTTTACCAGGCGCGGAGCCCTGCGATTGGCCAGCCCGGGGGCGGCAGAACGGGCCAGCCCCGCCCGCGGGAACCACATGAGCCGCGCATGCGCCGCGCTCGTCAGAAAGCTGCAGCTGGGGAAGCCAGAAGAGGTGGGGAGGGAAATCTACTGCCTCAGGGAAGCGAAGTGCCTAAGCGCATGCGTAGTCCAGCACAGGCGCCACTCCCCCAGCAGGAAGTGACCGTACTGCTTCCGGGTCAGAAGGGAAATTGGCTGTGGACCACGTGGGAGCTTCCGTGCTGCATGTGGAAGCCGGCGCGCCAGGTTGGTGCCGGGACCGGGTTCCTGGGGGCGCCGCGTGTCTCCTCCCATCCGTTCCCGGGGGGACCCCCAGGGTTGACCCTGCCTGCACGTGCCAGAGGCAGCTGGCGGGATCCCGCTGTGCAGCGGCTCCCCGTTTCCAAGCCCTGCCTGGGTCCCTTTTTTAGAGCTGGGCTGTCACTTCTGCGGTGCCAGCGTTTGTGCCACCCGCGGGGCCCGCCTAGATACCTGGGAGCTGCTCACCTGTGCGTTGTGCCACGTATGCAATGGGTGCCGGGACAGTCGCATCCATCGGGAAGCAGTGTCCCCCACGGGATCCGCACTGACACTCTACCCTCATGCGGGGCGGTGGCTGGAGCTACGATTCATGTCACTGGCACTTCTTAATCGCTGAGGGCAGGAATGTTGTCGGGTTTGACGTAAACTGATGGAGAGAGCAGGTCCCGAGAAGAGTCTGGTGTGGTGTTTTGTTTTGGCATGCATATGACTTGGGGGGGAGGGGTTTCAGTGAGGGTTAATGACTTGTTTTGTTGGGTTTTTTTGCAGGCACGTAAAAAATGACTTCCCTCGCCCAGCAGCTGAAACGGCTTGCTCTACCCCAGAATGATCCCAGCCTCCTGTCTCGAAGTGAAGCAGCTTCCTTGCTGTTTGATTGCAAAGAAGCTGCAACTATTGACCGGGACACCTTCTTCGCACTTGGTGAGTGAGGCAATAGGGGTGCCCTGTAAATGCAACTTTACAGTCACATTTCTGTTTGGAAATAATGTTGGTCTCGGGTAATGTGGCTGAAAGTGATGAGAGGGAAAACATCTCCTGTGCTTTGCCATCTCTGTCCTCTGTCGGTTTGACCGCGCTCGGAGTTGTCTCTTTACCTTTATGTTCTACCGGTTTGTTCTGGCCTAGGGGCGTCAAACTCATCAAGCTGCACAGGCTGGATGAGGCTAGCTGAGTTAGCCTGCAGGCTGAATCAGGCTGCACTGGAGCCAGCACATATGGCCAGTCCATCAGGGCACCATATGCAGTGTGCATTCACCTCATGCTGACCCCCTCTTCCACTCCAGGTGTGTGCTACATGTGGGGCCAGGGGGGTGCATGCTGCACATGGCACTCTACGGGACCAGCCCTGTAAACTAGCTCCAGTCAGGGCTGGCCCCCGATCTAGTACCTGAGGCCATAGATCATAGAAAAGTCATGTGTGATCGTATTATTTATGAATCAAGAGATGCTATGTATTTACTTATAGGTTTTTCCCATACCTCTTCTGATTGGTTGGTTCCCTTCTGTTTTTTACAGGCAGGACCTCTTTGAACTTAGTGTGTAATATTGATACTGATTTTATATCTGGGGAAACAGAGGCAGGAGGTGCAATGACTTGTCCAAGTTCATAGATGTTTGGGTCGGAATGAACTTTAGCAGATCATCAAGTCTGAATCCCTGCCCTGGGTAGGAAAGAGCGCTGGGATCAGATAACTCCAGCCAGGTGCATGTCTAGCCTCCTCTTAAAGACCACTCCCAGGTAGGGGAGAACCACCTCCCATGGAAGCCCGTCTCAGATTCTGGCAACCCTTGCTGTAAAGTTTTTCCTTATGTCTAATCTAAATCTGCTGTCCATCAATTTGTGGCCATTGTTCCTAGTTAGTCCAAGGGGTGCCCTGGTAAACAGTATCTCCTATTCCTTGCTGCCAATTCAATGAATTTGTAGGCGGCCACAAGATCACTTCTCGGCCTTCTCTTGCGGAGGCTGAAAAGATCCAGGGCCTTCAATCTCTCCTTGTAGGGCTTTGCCTACAGGCCCCCAGCCATATGAGTGGCCCTGCTCTGAACCCTCTCAAGGTTGTCCACATCCCTCTTGAAGTGCAGCGCCCAAAACTGGACACATTACTCCAGCTGCACCATGACCAATGCTGCATAAAGGGGAAGTATGACTTCCCTGGACCTATTTGTCATGTACCTGCTAATGCATGATAAAGTGCAGTTAGCTTTGCTGAGCACTTCGTTACATGCATCTTGGAGCCAACAGTGACCCCAAGATCCCTTTCCAATGCTGTGCTGCTGAGAAAGTTCTCCCCCAGCCTGTAAGTATGCTGGTGATTCCCTCTCTGTAGATGCAGCACCTTGCACTTGTCCTTATTGAACTGCATCCTATTCTGTTTCACCTACTTTTCCAAGCTGTCCAGATCTGCCTGGATCTGTTCCCTATCCTCTGGTCTGTTAACTTTATCCTATAGTTTAGTATCGTCTGCAAATTTGGACAGAGTGCTTTCCACGCCCTCATCCAAGTCACTGATGAAGACATTGAACAGCACCAGTCCAAGGACCAAGCCTTGTGGGACTCCACTGCCCACACCTGTCCAGGTCGATACTGCCCCATCCACGACCACTCTCTGGGTGCGAACCCTAAGCCAATTTGCCACCCACCTGACCATGTAATCATCTGCGTCACAGCCGCTCAGTTAATCTGTGAGAATAGAATGAGATACCATATCGAAGGCCTTCTTAAAATCCAAGTAGATGACATCTACTTCGATTCCTAGGTCTCAGCATTTTATGTCCTGGTCATAAAAAAAAGTTAGTCAGGCTATGAATCTGTGCTGCTTGCCCTTTATCATTGCTTTCCCCACTTGACTGCCACAAATGTGGCCCTTAATAGTTTTTTTTCACAGGTTTTCCTGAGGATACAGGTGAGACTAACTGGTCTATAGTTACCTAGATTCTCCTTCCTCTCCTTGAAAATAGAGACCACATTGGCCCTTTTCCAGTTCTCTGGGACCTGACCTGAGCACCAAGAGCGCTCAAACAGCCATGCAAGTGGCTCTGCTATGATGCTGGCCAATTCCTTCAGCACCGTTGGATGAAGATCATCTGGGCCTGCGGACATAAACACATCCAGCTCCTCTAAGTGTCTTTTCACTAAGTTACTGCTAACAGTTGGTGGGCTGCTTTCCCTTTTGTGTCTGGCTATGATCCAATTGGGAGATTTGTCCTGATCCAAGTTCAGGAATACAGAGGTAAAAAACTAATTGAAGAGCTCGGCTTTGTCCCCCCGTCACTAATTACCCTAGTTTGTTCTGTAGGGGTCTTATGCTACCCTGCACCTTCTTTTTGCTGCCTATACACCTGAAGGACTTTTTGTTGTCTTTAATTTTGGTGCCAGCCTAAGTTCCATTTCTGTTTTGGCCTTTCTGACTGCCTCCCTGCAAGTGTGGGCCTCGTAGGTATACTTCACCTTGGTAGCTACTTCCTGCTTCCACGCCTTATATGCCTCTTTTTTTTGCCCCAAGGCTTTCTTGGATTTCCCTATTCAGCCAAGAGAGTTTCTTGGCCCCTTTGCCCCCTTTCCTGCACATTGGGATTGTCTCCTCCTGCACCCATAGGATTGCTCCTTTTAGGAACAACCACCCTTTCTGGACTCCTGTCTCACCAGTCCTCCTGATCTTCAGTGCCTCACTAACTAATCTCCTGAGCACACTGAAGTTAGCCTTTCTGAAGTCTAGTACTTCTTCCCTACTGGTTATCTTTCTCACCCTGCGCCAGATAGTGAATTCAATCAAGTGATGGTCACTGTCCCCTAGATTACTTTGTGTCAGTAAATCCCCCACCAAGTCATCCCCTGTAGCCAGGACCAAGTCCAGTAAGGCATTTCCTCTAGTTGGAGTGCATACCTCCCGAGTTAGCTGAAAGTCCTGTATGCAAGCTAAGAACCTACATGAATGGTTGGATCTAGCTGACTGCTCCTCCCAGCAGACGTCAGGGTAGTTTAGGTCACCCATGACAACTATGTCCCTTGACCATATGGCCTCTGAGAGCTGTCTAGGGAATTCCAGGTCTAACTCCTCATCCTGATGTGGCAGCCTATAGTAGACTCCCACTACCAAGTCCCTTTCCCCCTAGCCCCCTTGCATTCTGACCCACAGTACTTCAGTTTGCCCCTTCTCTGGTCCCATCTTGATTATGGAAGATGTATATTGCTCCTTCACATAGATAACAATACCCCCTCCCTTTTCTCCCTGCTCTATCATATCTGTACAGCCTATAGCCCTCAATGCTTACTGCCCAATCATGGGTAGGTTTCCACCAAGTTTCAGTTAGCCCAACTAAAATGAAGTTCTTAGACGGAGCTGCTGTCCAATCCAGGTTCAGAATTTTGGAATTCAGGAATCTGCTGTGTCCACATCCCTGAGAGCTGGCACTTCAAATGTGAGGTGAATTCTCAAAGCTTTCACTACTTCAGCAAAATATATTTTTGGAGCAGTATGGCCTCCTAGTTATGGGATAGGAAAAAGATTATTGAAATAGTAGACATGATGCTCTCTGTTATAATGGTGTTTGGTGTTGTAGTATGAGAGAGGTCAGGATAACGCACGTGATTCTTGCGTGGGAAGGAGGAGAACTTGGATGGCTTTTCACCCCATACCGTTTTTTCCTAGGTTGCACTGGTTTAGAGGAACTGACTGGGATCGATCCTTCCTTTGAGATGTTTCATTCTACTTTGTTCAGTGTTACATCAAAAGGCTTGGAGCGGAGTGTTCAGAGTAAAGTAGTAAACCAGCAGCTGGATGAGAATATTTCTTTGTTCCTGATCCACCTGTCCCCTTACTTCATGCTTAAACCAGCACAAAAGTGCCTTGAGTGGCTGATTCACAGGTAACTATATAAATCATCTGTGTGTTAATAGATATGATTATGAAACATTTAAGACTCCCCCCCTGCTTCCTTCCCCACACTCCTGTCAGGATGGTTTGGGTGACGTTTGCCTGAGATCACTGGAACTAGAGATTAAAATCCTGAAATAATTGATTCAAATCTTCGTCTTTGCAAAATGAGATTAATTAA